CATAATGCCATGTGTATAGGCGGCTCGTAGAACTTTGTCATCTGTTGTATCGTGATCACTTCATATCTTTTAAATATGATTTCGTGGTTCTAATTGTAGGCGACAAAATACGTATATAATCACATTCTAAAGTAAAGAAGATAGAACATGAACATTAAGCCATCTAACCCAATCACTAATGTGTCGAAAATTGAATCCAAAATCGGTGAAATATATATTTTTTTTTTGAANCTTTGATCGGTGAAAGTTCACACACAAAGATGAATGAGCGGACGATGTTGAAGTTCACGGCGGAGCAAAAGGGAAGCAGATGAAAGATTAAGCGGAGAAGTTAGGATGGACGTTTAAGGATAAGAGATCGATTAGTGTTTTTGCGAATTTGGTGTTTTTCGTTAGCTTTTAAACCTTCTTCTTCCAAGTTCGTCTTCTTTTTGCGAGAAAGTAACTCTATGACGATGAATATGTGGAGAGGGTTTTGTATTTAATTTAATGGGTTTATGTTGTATCTTTTTTAAATATTGTTACGAATAATTTTGTTTAAAAGAAAAAAAAAAATGACGAAGACGCATGACTGAGTACGAACAATTGGCTCAATAACCATTCTCGAAGAGGGAGATACAATATTACTCTACTCCCCTTCTCACAGAGAGAGAGAGAGAAAAGATTCAAAGATAGAACAGAGCTCAGTTCATCGCGCCATTAGAAGAAAAAAAACGCAGAGAAAGATTGTTTCGGAAGCTTGCAGTTTACTTCTTCTATCAATAGAGAAGAAGCTTCTTCTCTTCTTATCTTTTCATATGGGTCGAGGTAATCGCAATCTATGCGATTTCGGGTTTTGAATTCAAGTTCCGAATCCTAAAATGCTTCTCTCTTCATAATCTAGTTTTTAATAGTGGATCGGAATGAAAATTCATCTCGGTGAGTGAAAGTTATGGTCAAGGAAGCTTGAGTTTGAGCTTCGTCTCTACCGCTCTACAGAAACGAGATCGTGCGAGTCTGTTATCTCCAACAATGGGTTTTCTCGGAAAACATCTGAAGCTTATTCCATGGATTTCAAGGTTCGATTTCGTCATCAATCTCGGTTTTTTTTAATTTTGCTTAACCTTCCCCTGTTCTGGAGAATTCAAATCGCCAAATGTGATTTGGAGTTTCGAAGCCAACACATGAGTTTGATGATAATCTCAATCATGTTTCTCTACTTGTTCCAGCGAGATTTCAAGCACACAAAGCAGAATCAAAACCCATCATCATAAGTCATGAGAAACCAGCAAAGAAAAGAGAAATTCACAGGTTGAGTTCCGTTTGTCGTAGAGCAGTAAATATCTTGGAGTTTCTCTCTAATAATGGCTGCTCTTCTGTAGTCAAGATCCATCAAGTGCTTGGAGATTGTGCAGATACAAGCAAAGCTCTAAGAATGTACACACATTGTTATACTTGCACACAAACTGAACACAAAAAAGCAAAAACCACAGGTCCAATTTGGAATCTATGCATAAATGTCAATACACCACAGTCACAAATGCATGTGTATATAAACACAAGCATTTCAAGATGATTTTTGTTTCATCAAATCAATATGATTCTCTTATGTCTTATGTAGATTGCGTGAGAAACTAAGCTTATTCCCGTTTTGTTCTTGGCCTCTTCGGAGAGAATCTACCGAACATCTCCAAGGGATTTGGTCGCCTCCTGTCTTCGATCTCCTCACCATCAGATCTACCATCATCTTCACCGTGGTTGTGAGCAATATTCGTGTTGTTGGCCGTGGTCTTGAGCACTTCAAGCTAAGCAACCAGAAAAGGAAAAAAAAGACAAAAGCAAGTTAAGAGATTGATGTGGCAGCCTTGGGATTTGATCAGAAATAAAACCTACAATTTCAAGTACTTCTTTCTCGTCCTTGTTCAAAGGTGCATCCGTCTCATCTGAAGCCTTTTGATTTTGAAACCTAAATTTTTGAACCACTGCATCCGTTTTGATTTTCCCCTCCAACTCTATTATGGTTTCTTTCGAAAGGTTCCATTCTTTGGCCAGGTCTTGCGTGAGCAAACGCCTTGGCTAGAGAACACAGAAAAGACTGTGTCACAAGAAACTCCGATAACAGAATGAATGCATAGAAACAAGTTTTAAATCCGTTGTTTACCTCGGATTGTGTACCAGTTTCTGCATTGAATGCTTGAAGAAGACCGTAAAAAGCTTGCCTCTGAAGTTCGTTGAGTCTCGTTTTATCGCTCGAAAGATTCAGTGCTTGATTCCTAAATTTTTGAACCTGAGTATCAGTTTTGAGTTTCTCGCTCAATTTGGTTATGGTTTCATTTGAAAGGTTCCATTCTTTGATCAGCTCTTTCACGAGCAAACGCCTTGGCTAGAGAGCACAGAAAAGACACTATGTCAGAACAAACTCCGGGAACAGAATTAATTCATAGAAACAAGTTTTAAAACCATTGTTTACCTCGGGTACTAGTGTACCAGATTCTGCTTTGAACGCCTGGACAAGACCGTAAAAAGCTTCCCTCTGAAGTTTGATGATTTCTATTTTAAGTTTCAATGCGTTTCGAACATTCCTGAGGAACAGAGTGTTTGAGAAAAAAATAAACAAAGAAGGAAGAGGAAAATAAAGAAAATCTTTACAGTAGTAGAAGCTTCGAATATATGATACCTCCATCGTTGAACCAGTGGTTCAGTTTTGATTTTATTCACCAAAGCAGTATGAGCTTCAGGAGAAATGTTCCATTCTTTCTTCAGGTCTTGCACGATCATAATCCTTGACTAAAGAACACATAAGACGAACATGAGTTACAACCTCCGAGAACAGAATCGAATGCATAGAAAGAAGATTTTAAACCGGTGTTTTACCCTGGATACTTGTGGAGATTCTCCACTGAAGGCATGAAGAACCATGTAATAAGCTTCACTCTGGAGATCGACGAGACTTTTCTCATTGGTATTCTCATTAGATTTAGGGGCTTGAGTTCCGCTATCACTGTTCCACTCTTTCATCAGGCTTGATAGAATCGAAATTCTCTCCTGATGAAGAACAGAGTCACCATCAAGACATTCACGAACAATATGAAATCAAAGAAGAAGAAAAGATTCAGTAGAGTAATCGAGAAAGGTCTTACTTTAAATGGCTTCGAGATGTCTTCTGTGAATGCTCGGAGAACAGAGAAGAAAGCTTTCTTCTAGAGTATTTCGAGTTCCTGTTCGTAACTCTTGGCATCTCCATCGTTCACTGCCACACGCGATTCCGATGGATGGCCTTCTACGGCAGTAACATTCTCGTTATCAGAAGCCTTTGGAACATTCCTGCAAGAAACAGAGTGTTTGAGAAACAATGAAGGGAGAGGAAAGTAAAACAGGAATCTTTACAGGTAGTTAAAGCTTCGATTATACCTCGAGCGTTTAACCAGTCCTGGGAACCCGGGATGTCCATCTTGCCATACAGTATCTTCTGCCGGAATCTGTAATGAGTTTGAGATCATGAGGTTTCAACTTCTGAGAGAAAGAAGTACAAATATAAAACTTGAAGAGAGATATATGGTTTTACATGTCTGATATCAATCCAATCGCACGGAGTCACCAGGTGATGCATTTCCTGTAGATTGGTAAACCATACTTCTTAGAAATGGCTGAGACCTGACCTGATCTGATGATACAACATACAAAGGAACATGAATGAGATTTACCGTTTCCGCGTCATAGTCTTTGATTTGGAATGCAGTGTAATGGTCTTCGCCAGGCATTCTTATCTTGAGGCATCTGCCAACTAGAGACTGAGGAGAAACTTGGCCCCAGCTTGGTACAACTGAATCTTTCTTCTTGAGTTCTTCGAGCTCCTGTTCGTAACTCTTCGCATCTCCATCGTTGCTTGATCCAAGATGGGTTTTTTCAGTCATTGCTTTCTTCTTAAAAGGCAGATGCTTTTGATCTTCTTCTGC